GGGGGGGGGGGGGAGATGGAAGACGCCAAGGGTGAGGGAAGGAGGAAGTGGCAGCAACAGAACGAGGAGCAGCACAAGCAGCACGGTGGGATGAATCAATTGTTCGTTGAATCCCCGGCCCGAAAGCTGCTGTGAATCGTGTGGAAGACGATGATTGGAATTGGGGTCGGAATTGTGTCGATGTCGATGCTGCGCGAACCTGGTTCGTGGCAGCATTCGAGACAAGATTTTGCAATAGCACACGGAGGCCCCGGTGGTGAGCTTGGCGGCAAGATCGGTCGTCGTCGTACAGAGCTTTACTTCGAATCTCGCACTACGGCTGTAGATTGAAACTGTCGTATGCGTAACATCAAAGGAGCGCCGGTTCAAGAACAAATTACCCCGTTCGAAGGTGTGCTGGAAGTGAAGGTCGTGCATATGCAACAAGTAGCCTCAGTCTTTGCATTGACGGTTGAGAGGGAATTGAACGGGCGCTCCTTTGATGTTACGCACACGATAGTTTCAATCTACAACCGAAGTGCGAGATTTAAAGTAAAGCTCCATAAACCAACATTTTCTCAATACTACTCTCCTTCTCATACACATTTCATGACATTGTTTGACGACATCTCAACCAGAACTAAACCCAACCCTGCTTCCAGAGCCAACATTCTCAAGTCCATTCCAAGATATCTCGGCAAACCGCTCTGAGGAACACCAGGGAAATTGACAAAAACCATACCACATTGGATGTATGATAACTTTTCGTGGTGTACTTCTGGTGTTTGCCAACACCAAACATCACAAGAAACAAGCTAGCATGATACAACCTAATGCTATGCCCTACCTACCATGCACCAGGTGTACCATTCTCATCTAAGCATCACTGATACGATCCCCAAAATGATCAAATACGCTTTGTGAATTCAATAAACGGCGGGAACCAACTGCCCGTGAAATTCAAAAATCTGTAGGTTTGAAAACGAGTAGCTCTTTCTTCCATGATTTTTACAAAAAAAATATTCCCAAAATCTAACAAACCAGCAAGTTGTCAATGCGCCGTGTTCCCTGTGAACGTTACAGTTTACAACACACGACACAACGGAAGGATTATCCCCGATATTTTGTCGTTGACCCAGTAGAGACCTACAGGGGATGTACTGTAAAATGTAGGCTACCTATACAGATGTTTTTGTACTTAGCACCAGCTGGCATCATTTATGTAAAAATCATCCGTGTATAGACTGAAAAAAGACTCGGAATAAGTCCAGTACCCAGCCGGTTTTCCTATTTACACGCACTGAAAAGACTCCACCACGTCCCGTTCGACTGTGGGCATATCTCGAACGGGTAGTCTTCCTGCGTGTGTATTTATTTTCCTTAATTCCATCACAACTCGACGTATATACTGTGATTAAACTACCCCAAGTCTTCTTTCACTTACTAAAAAATAGGGTCGACTCATTGCACGACAGAATCACAAGGGGTTTCCGCAATACCCGCTTTTCCATTGGAAGCGTTTTTTCGGCACTTTTCTTCTCGGCGCGCAGGCAGCCCTGATGACCTTTTCTGCTCGTATCGCGAGTACCGCGTGCCGTGCCTCCCTGACAAGTAAAAACCATACCGCAGGAGCAGATTCCACTAGCCACTCATTCCCTGCAGGAAACTTTTCGGCACACCATGACGATTCCCCAGGCACACGACACCTGCTTGCATGGCGCCCCCCGGGTAGTCCACATCTAGAGGCAGAGGGCGTCACGTTTCGTGACGATGCCTCCCCTCGCGACGAATGCCGCCCGAGCGTCGCACACTTCGCTGCTGTACTGTGCAACGTTCGGGGCGGCATTCGTCGCGAGGGGCGGCATTGTCACGAACGTGACGCCCTCTGCCTCTAGATGTGGACTACCCGGGGGGCGTCATGCAAGCAGGTGGAATATATGTGCTTGTGAGGGAATTGTAGTTATTGGAGATACATATATATGGAGAGAGAGAGAGAGATGGAAGGGGGTTGTGCTGCTGCGATGACGCGCCCGCCCGCCTGTTTCAATGTTCGACTGCCCTGCTGTTCCCAGCCCACGAAGGCCTAAGAAACACGCTTTGATCGCAAGCATCTTCGAGACACGCACACACGGCCCCACCGGCAAATCTACACAACAAATATCTACGCGCGAAAGGCCACCGCCGGCTGATCCCACGTCACTTCCGCCGCAATCCCGCAACCAACCTCCCCTCCGAGCACCGGCGAAAACAAGAGCAGCGGGAGAGGAGACTTTAGAAATCCGAACCAAGGTGTTTCAAACAGCTCCTGGAGAGTAGCAGGGGCACGTTCTTGTGGCCCTGCGTACACCGCAGGAGTTGAGATCCAGTTTTTGCTCGGAGCGTACCACAAATCAATGGCGGTACCACACATCAACGGCGGTACATTTCGAGCACCCAATGGTAGGCGCAGCCTAATGCCCACGGTTCGGCGTTGCCAGGATTGATGGATATCTCTCACAGAAGGTTTTCATCCAAGAGATTTGTGCGCCACTTGAGTAGACTGTATTCAATTTCAAAATTGTTTCGGCAGCCGCAACCGCTGTCCGAATGAGGAAATCAAATCACACCCGGGGAAGAACGAAGCAGAAGGAGACAAAAAAAAGTCTGGGGAGAAATAAAAGAAGGAAGGAATGCACCGCAAATTAATTGTTCTGTGTGATCGGGGTTGCCACTTCCGATGTACGGAGGTAAGGCCATAGGCGACGAAAAAGGATGACGGACACACGCGTTGGACAATGAACAAGCAACACAAATAAAGTAGATCAGCGAGAAAGGATAAACTGACTGGTACGACAAACTTGCAGGGCGATGGCGTAACATCAACACTTTCCCACGCAAGCGGCTAACACCTTGCAGAATTCGACACTCCTCCTTCAAGAGTCGACCACGACCACATCCTCAGCAGTAACAGCAACAGCAACGCGCACGCGCGTACAGGCGTCATTCACCCAAAGTAAATCACCTGGAGGTTGGCCCGGGCGTCGAAGGCCCCGGAGAGGACCTGGTTGACCGAGTAGGTGGAGTTGGTGGTCTGGTCCACCGAGACGATGTCGACGAGACGGTCGGAGGCGCTCATCTCCTCCGCGTAGTCGTGCGTCTTGTGGCGGTTGTTGTTGTTGTTGTTGTTGTTGTTGTTGTTCAAGTTTCGTGGGCCATCCCAAGAGAAATCGCAACGCGGGCAGAGAGAAGCGTGAACGAAGATCATACGGTAGTGCGTCCACGAGGGGACACGCAGACAGGGGGGGGAGACCCACGAGATGGGGGCAGAGGGGGAGCCAGGCTGTAGTGAGGGGTCGTGAGCAAGCCGGCGGGGCGAGGTGGGGATACCAAAACTTGTGGCTACAAGGGGCGCGTTAGAGGGGGTCGAGTACAAACACAAATTCCACTGCTACTTGTGTGTATTGCTACTAATGAGCCTGCGACACGGACCGGCACAGGCCAGCTGTGGGCGGATCGTACGTCATCACCAAATAACGACGGTCACTACGGCCTGGTTCTGTTATTTTCTTTTCTTCCTCTGTGCTTTCGGGACGGCACGAGATGAAGAAGATAACAAAAGCAGCGACAAACATGCACGCCGGCAGGATAAGCCAGGGTATTCCTACCATACGGGCAAAACAAGTTTCAGTGGCATTTGCGATCTTTTCAGCGTGTTGCTCTGTATGATATCACAAGCGTTTTCGGCAACACACCTTCGCCAAAAAAAGAAGTGGAACACACTGGCACCAATACACTCGAGCGCGGAATAGCTTGGCGATTTCTTTGGTGCTCGCGATTTTCTATTCATGGTCACATTTCTCAATTTACGCCAAGCGAAGCCCGTGCAGAAACCCCCCCCCCCTCTCCCACTGAGAACCTTGCCACCCAATACCAACATGCATGTTAACCGTAGGCACTCATTTAGTTCCGCATCCATAAAGCGTTCTCTCTTTCTCACGATTACACCGCCCCAAAACCCTGCCCATGTAGGCCAAGGCTTCACACCTCAACTCACCACGGTCGCGCGATCTCCGACCAGCACCCTCGTGAAACCGTTGGCGAGGCAGACGCCGCCCCGGCTGAGGTAGCTCTGTGTGAGGGTCATGTGCGAGTCCGCCCCGGCCTTGACGACAAGCCGGGGGTGGCTCACCGTGGGCACCTCCTCCCCCTCGGAGAAGAAGATTACCTGTGTAGAAGTAGCGGGATCGTGGGCGGGGACCCCGGAAAGTTGGTGGTTTGTATGCAGGCGCCAACATGGGCGCGCGTGCACAAAACGAGTGAGGGAGGGAAGGAGGGAGGAAGGGAAGGAGGGAGGGAGGGAGAGAGGGGCGCGATTAACGGCAGCACTCTCACGTGCAGGCTTGTTGACGCTGGGTACGACCCTCGCATGCGCTTCTTCACGAAAGCCAAGAAACGGATACATTCATGAAATACACAATCCACAGACAATCTGGTGACGAGACTGTCTAGTCTATTTCTCGTTCACGGAAAAGCTGCGGCGTCGCATGTAGCACAAGTACAGAGAAACATGCAACAGCAGTGGGGGGGAGTAATTCACGTTTGGCGGGCGGCTGCTGCGTCCTGCTGAACACGCTTCAAACCTGGACACCCACACAGATGAAACACCCCACAACGACTAGAGTGCTCGCCACAATCGGTCTTTCGTCCTTCACTAGAAGACGAGGTCACAGAAAGCCCGCAGTCAGCACCCTCTCCACTACTGCTGTGGCTCCTCTTCAAGCGAGGACTACGAATGTGCGTCGGATACAGCTCTGCGAAACAAACTCATGAAGGACAACCCACACGACGCAGGCAGGGACCCGAACACACACGCGACGGACAATGCGTGAGCCACATCTAGAGAGGAACGAGATTCGGGGCGCGGTGCGTCTGCGTACCACACGGAAGATTTAACGAAAATTTTAGCACAAAGCTCGCAAGAACACCTACACACACTGTCGGAAGAACCCTTATCCTTTGTGACCAGAGAGTGTTCGTTTTCATTGGTCAGATAGTTAGCACGGTCGATCCCAACAAAAGAGTTACCCAACTACAAGGCTGACGTCTTTTCATTGGTCAGCCAGTTAGCACTGTTGACCCTAACCAAGAATACACATACACACACCTGGATGGGCTTCTCGACGGTAACGCCGTCCGCCACTATGATCACCCCCGCGTCGGCAAAGCAGGCCTGGTTCAGGCTCGCGAACGCCAGGGACCCCTGAGTCGTTCGGAAGTCGGCGTCCTTCTCCGGCAGGTACGACAGCATTTCCTTTGCCTGGGAGGGACGTTCCGCGAGGCCACGACAAAAAGCAGCAACAGGTTAAGGTTTCCAACACAAGTAAAAAAAAAAAACACACACACACAAGAACGTGCTGGATTTTTTTGCCCAAAGGGACGAACGCCGCTCTCAAGAAACACGGGAGAGGGGGGG